AAACTGTTTTACCCATGCATCTCAAATTTTCAGGTTAAGTTTTTGATAGTATTTACGAAAGAATTCAGTAAAAACACTGTCCCTAGGTACACCATTTTTTCTACTTCGATGCATTGTTACCAAAAAAATTGAAATGGCGTTTACGACGTTTTTGCGTTGCACGGCAGAGATAGGCGACATTGTTCGCTAGCCGTCGATATGTGTTTTAGGAATTTGACCGTCGATCTCTTTTTTCCCCTCGCGTAAGCATCTTATCTTTTGTATACAGGAGCGAATCCTGCAATTTGGCAACACAAGATTTCCTCCATTTAAACCTATCTTAAATAATCGATTCTTGTCGGAGCACCTAGCCCCTTCAAGAATCGATACATTTCCAAAGGTTTAGGTAGAGAAGAAACAATGTTGCCAACTTGCTGGATCCGCTGATGATCGTGCAATTCACTATTTATTATAGTTCATTTCAAGATGTATTGGGATCGATTGGTTGTTTTTTTCTTGGCAGAATCAGCCGGGCCGCAAAAATAAAGGCATGAAATGTAACAGGAGGATCTGTATAATTTATCTTAATTCTACCGCCGGCGCGGGCGGGAGTCCGCGAGTGCTTAAGCTAAATAATTTGTCCGAGGCGCTTACCGAGCTGTCTCGATCAATCGGAACGGGGGGCGGGGGGTGGAGGGAGGGAATAATGTGCCACGTAGGTGCAATTTATTTGAGCCCCGCGGCTGCCGCAAAAAAAGCTACTTAAAAAAGTTGGCTTTGGAGAGGATACTCGGGCAGATTAAAAACATACGGTTACCTCTGCGGCTCCGGCGGGAGCGGGAGCGTGTATCGTGTTGAGGAGCGTGAGCCGAGGTGAGCGCATAAATTTGCATTTATATTGGCCGGCTTATAATAATCTTCGAGGTTAATCACCGAGGCGTTTCTTTCGTTTGACGACTAATTGGATCTAGGATAAATCTCTGGCAATGAGAGGAAAAGAAAGGAGTTGTTCCTTCGTGCGGATCTTGAATCGGAAGGAGATAAAATCGCAAAAATGTTCGAGGAAACGGGATTTCCACGGTGAAACTGCGAAGTAACGTACCGCGGTTTATACTCCTGTAGAATTCCTGTTAGTTTTTGATGAACAGTTCGAAATTTTACGGACCGACGACCACAACATGTGGGGAAGTCTTATAAAATATTCATTTTTATAACAAACCTCTGAAGGTGCCCGAACGGGCGAAATGCATTAGCTAGTAGGTAAACATCAAAGTAAGCACCTTCGGTACGTTATCTATTATCTTATTTAATTTGCTTACAAGGTGCAATATGCATATTGAACTTGATTATATTATTAACTATAAAGGGGCGGAATTTGTCTTGGTAATGCTATATTGTTGGAACAAGCAACTATTCGAACGCCTGTGTAAGTTTTCTGTATAACTACAAAATTGAAGGCGCGTCATAGGCCTGTTCACGGCTGAGCGTGTCGTGGGACAAATATGAATGCAAGGACTCTCATGTGATCGCTCCGATGAAACTGGGTGCGCATTCTTTTCGATTGTGAATATGAATAATTTTCTTACTCGTATTGTATTTTCTCTAACGGAGATGTCAATTTTTCTACTTTTCCCGCCTCGGTCCTCGACGATCCATTTTGATCTCTGTGTTAAAAATCGTCGTGTCTTTCAACTTGTGCATGCTCCATTTGCTCAATGTGGGCATTGTCCCCGGTTCCGACAGGGTACGGGGATAAAAACGGATGTCATTGGAATGTGCCGGCAATTTCCTTCCCGCCAGAGGCAGGTCTAATTTTGCGGAGAAATGCAGTATGCTTTCCTTCACGCGAGGTGGTCACCTGCTTTCTTGTCACTTAAAGAGAAATAATTTCGATGCCAAGGTACTTTTGAAGTGCTTTAGCGGTGAATAGTCTTGCTAAGAAGATTATAAACGTCGGAGTTACACGTTTCCGATTGGCGAAACTTGGATTATAGTTCGTGGAACTACATTCCGTTGAGATTATGGGAGTCATTCATGTATTACGTAGGGATTTGACACTGCCCCTTCATCCACAACTGTGACGCCATAATTTTCGCCCCTTTTTCCGGTTGTTATGGTCAGAAAGAGATCAGCTTAATCGTCCATTCTCAGGCGCTCGAAGTTTCGTAACAAATGAACAGAAGAGTTGAAATATAGCGTGTTCTCACATCAGAAAATAAGGAAAAAAATTAGTATTTCATTTGAATACACGACCGAACCGCGGTTGTTGGGGAGGGGATGTTGACAGCGTTTTATAAATTAGACTTGGTGACGGATGATACCCCTCTGATGCGTTATCATGGTGTCGTCATGGTCGTGAAGCAATGCTGCCGTGCTAAGGAAAAACGCCGTATGAACCTCCAGGCGTTGCCAAATCTCTTTAGGTAAAATACGAATTTTTGAGAAAATGTGTGAATTTTTCACTCCAAATTTTCGGACGATTTTGTACGCAATTTGATCTAAAGTATCTGAAAATTCAAGGAAAAACATTCATGGCTTTCCTCAAAAAAAACATTTTATCGTAGGAAATTTGGCAACTCGAGAATGTTCATACGGCGTTTTTCCTTTGCACGGCAGAATGGTGCGGCTACGTTGCACAAAAAGTTTCCATATTATTTGCCACACATAGTTGCCAGGTAGTGAATCAGCACAAGCCCTAATTTAAACACGTGAAATATCTACATTTAATTGCACACTCAGGCAAATATGTGCGGCGTTGAAGCACTGCCGTGGTTTCTCCCCTCAACTTCAAAAGTAAGAATACGTACAAAATATCCAACAACCTTCATACTAAAAATTCGTAAAAAAAAGAGAAAATTCCCTGATTTTTCATAGGTGTTTGCTGACCGAAATTATCAAAATTCCTCAACTTTTCATATGAATAATGAACTGTGCAGAAACTGAAAATGAACGACTTTTGGCATTACTTTCACTGCAAATGACAGGAACGTGTGACACCGTTATCTTCAGATACTGATCACGCAATGGGCCTGTTGCAAACTTTTGCTAGAGCAGAATGAAGAGTTGTTTCCTATAGATAATGCCTCAAAAATCACGATGAGCGCATCGGCAAAGTCTGAAATGCACTCATAACTTCACAATCTGCGTAAGAAATTTGCGTTATTTTGAGCTTCCCGCTTCAAAAACGATACTACTGCACAGGTGAACATTTTGTTAGAGGAGTCGCTCCATCGTCGGCAATATTCATCATGGCCGACGCTTGCGCAGTTCCTCGCGTAATTCGAGGAGAGTTCAAGGTCAATTAAGGCGGGCGAGGAAAATATGAACGTAAACACGCAGATTGTTATATGGTTTAATCCTGTTCAAGTGTTATCTCGTCCCATCACACGTGTTTTGGCGGACTGGCGTCGGCCATGATGAGTATTGTCGCCAATGGAACGACTCCTCTAACAAAATGTTCACCTGTACCGTAGTATCGTTTTCGAAGCGGGAAGCTCAAAAAACCGCAAATTTCTTACGCAGATTGTGAAGTTATGAGTGCATTTCAGACTTTGCCGATGCGCTCATCGTGATTTTTGAGGCATTATCTGTAGGAAACAACTCTTAGTTTTGCTCTAGCAAAAGTTTGCAACAGGCCCATTAATTAATTAGAAGGTTAATTCCTAATTGAAAATGATTTCTCAATTCACTATCCAAGGTGCGACTCAGAGCATTGGACCTAAAACCAAACTGAAACTTAAAGTTCGTTGGGTAGACAGCGTGATGTTGTTTTAGTTCATTAGTTCTGAGATGTTTCAAATTCTCAATATTTTTCGTAAAATTCCCTGATATCCCTGACCTGATAAATTTCGACGAAAATCCCGTTTTCCAGATTTACCAGACCTTTAGAAACCCTGCTTTGCCGTGCTAAGGAAGAACGCAGTACATGCATTCTGCATTCTAAGGAAAGTTCTGTACATTTTTCCTTGAAATTTTCAGGTATTTTGGAATAAGTTGTTGTGCAAATTGCCTGAAAAAATGGATGAAAAATATTCTGGATTTTCTCGGTAAGATCGTTTTTTATAGAAGGAAATATGGCAACGTCTAAAAGCCTATACGGTGTTCTTCCTTAGCACGGCAATGCTCGCCCTCAGCGCGCCTTGGATCTGCGTAGGCGTGTAGGCGCAACGCGGCGGGATGCTTTTGTGTATAGCGGGTGGCAGGCTTTTTCCCGTTGAAGGCGCTAGAGCTCGTTCAAGGATATTGTATTATCCATGCATGCGTCAAACATCCGTCTCTGGTTGCTCTCTGGATCATTATCTCAATTCCCGCGCTCGCGTCTCGGCGAGTGCCAAGAACAAAGCCGATACGGAAAAAAGAAGAAATCTCATTTTCCGTGTCATCTTTCGCTGTTTCCTAAAAAGGAGCTCCCTCCCGCCCGGCCGCCCGTCCCAGATTAAAACAAAGCCGTGAAATTACATCCTGTCAGTTACTCAAGGAGACGCCCGTCAAGTTTTTGAGAACTCCCGCGCTCGAGTTTCGCCAGACACCAGACAGATGGCGTTGTCACATCTCGCACCTTGAGTTCTCACTCATCCCACCGTCGAACTCAACGTGATTCATCTTTAGATATTCCCCACCCTAAAGCGCGGATACGGTTCCCGACTAGATCGCTCACCTCCATCCAGTCTCACAGACTCTGGTCTCCTAGACACTTAAATGGAGAATTTGAAAAACTTATGTTTTAAGCGCTCAGCCGAAAACTGCCATGCTAAGAAAGAGCACCGTATGAGCCATCAGGCGTTACCAGATTTCCTTCGATAAATCACAAATATATCTTTTCCAATTTTTTCAGAGAATTTCGTGCGTTCTTTGATTTAAAAAGTCTAAAAATTTCAAGGAGAAGTATTCATAACTTTCTTCGAAAATAAATATTTTCAAAGAGTTGGCAGCATTCGAATGCATATACGGTATTCTTACTCAGAACGGCAGTACGGAAACGATGAATCATGTTGCATGTAAATAACTGTGGATTTTCTTACCGTTCTATTTCCCAGATTTTTGACCCTGCAGTTGAGATATGCTGTTTTGCCGACGAGACCAGTGAGGTTATTTGGCACAGACGTATCGAATGATGGCCCCGTGCCGGGTGTCGGTAACTCTTGTAAAAAGTCCGTGCGAAATCTGCTGGATCCCTCGATTCCTGAAACACATCGAATTCAACCAATATTACACTAAAATGATTAAAATATATTCTTTGCGTGCAATCGTGATGTATTGAAAATGTAGTAATTTACATCCGATGTTCAGCGACTCAAAACACCCTTGAATCTCCTTAGTACTGTCTAGTAAAATTAGAAAACAGATTCATGAATTCACAGAGAAAAAAACTTCGTGCATGGGACCCGAAGTATTGAGGTCATGTGGATCTCTGAAGTTTTCTGATCACGCATCTGAAAACTTGAAGTCGCGCTGCCGAAGGTCGGGTCAGACATCGAGGCACTTTGGTATGTACCAGAGTACTTCAGATGAGTGACCCGAACCCTTCGGTATATATCGAAGTACTTGAGATGTCTGATCCAAACTTCGGCAGCTGGACCTCAAGTTTCTAGGTACTTGATCCGAAAACTTCAAAGATCCATATGACCTCAACATTGGGCCTCACGCACGAAGTTTCTTTCTCCGTGAACCATGAAGAGGAATCGAAATTCATTTATACTAGAAATATTGACTTCACTAGAAAATTGCGGAGTGACAGAAAAAGGTGAAGGTCCTCTTTGGATTTAACAGCTCAAAATACGTAAAAATAAACCCAATCAGTAGCTGAAAAATTTAAAATCACAAGAGTAACTAATAACGCACAGCGCCAAAGGTGCAAGACGCTCCGGGAGGTTGGACCGCAACGCCGCCGCCCATAGGCGGAGCTTTTTAGTTACAAATAACACCTCAATGATAAGCTCTATTAGGAAATGGCGACGGTAATTGCAGAAACGATTCACAGGCTGCTCAAATTCTGCCATTTCGTACGTAATTATTTGTAGCAACCCGAGCAAATGAGGTATTTTAAAATATAAGGAGCCAAATCCGTTTTGCCAATGCTTAGATGCTTTCATGGACAAGTCAGAGCGTACATAAAAAGACTATTATTTCTGGCTTATTTCAGAAACAATATGCAAGGCCTTATTGTTCTCATGCACTTAGATACTTTCATGGACAAGTCAGAAATGATCCTAGCTGCAAAATGAATTCCAGGTGAGCCAAAGCGTTGCTTTTTTATCCAGAACAATGGTTAAGATGCTCCGCACGATTTAGACTAGCGCCTTCAGTTTTCCTGATACCGCACGCTTTGCCGCAGAGTTAGTTTAGTTGCGTGACCTAACCTAACCTAACTAAGGTGGCTACGCCGATTTGCTCCACAGAGAGTGGCCCCATACTATCCTGCCGTGCTGAGGAAGAACGCCGAAATAATCTTCAGGCGTAGCCAAGTTTCTTTTCATAACATACGATTTTACAGGGAAAGTTATGAATATGTTCTTGGTGTCGTCTTCCACGTTGATTTCATCAGTCGGTGTGACGCACATTTGCACTGATTACTGGCCGTGAAACTTGGTTGAAAGTAAGGTGAAAGGAACCATGGGTGTCACTTTACCGTGGCGGATAACGTCAAAACCCTGACTTTTCAAACGGTGATAAATCGGTCAATATTAAACGTAGAAATGCTGTTCGGAAACATCTTATTATTTTCAGCTAATCTACAAGAATCAAGCATCAAAACACGATTCTGTGACCAGTGCAACTGACTTATTCTGGCGGGCTAATCGAAAACGCCGTATGAACATTCGAATGTTGCCAAATTTACCCTGAAAAAACATTTACTTTTGAAGAGAGTTATACATATTTTCCCTTGAAATTTTCAGATATTTTCGATTGAATTGCGAAAAAAATTATTAAAAAATTAGTAGAAAAATATTCACTACTTTCTCAATAAATTCTTATTTTATCAAAGGAAATTTGGCAACGCCTGTAAGCTCTTAAGGCGTTCTTCCTTAGCGCGGCAGCATTGAAGACCTGGCATTCTCACCACACTGTAAGGAAGAACGCCGTACGAACATTCGAGAGTTGCCAAATTTCCTTCGATAAAATGTTTATTTTCGAAGAAAATTATGATTATTTTTTATTTAAATTTTCAGAATCTTTACGTGAAATTGCGAATGAAATTATCTGAAAAATTGGGAGGAAAATATCCATAAGTATACCAGGAAAATCGCGTTTTATCAAAGGAAATTTGGCAACGCCTCAAAGTTCATACGGCGTTTTTCCTTAGCACAGCAGCACAGCTGATGACGCTTCAGACGTTTCTGCATATTTCCGTTCTTCTTGCATCCGTAAAACACGGACGAAGGAATTAAGTACATTATTATGTTTGAGACAGATGCTGCGGGAAGTGAGGTTACAAATAATGGCGGGGGACGGAATTTAAAAGGCACCGAGGGATATTAAATAGGCCTCGGTGAGCCGACGGAGACGTCAGCAGAATCGTCAAAACAATTTATAACGTCTTGCCCTCGATCTCGGTCCGGAATTTTCGACTGTTCCGGATTCACGAACGCGGGCAGAGATTGAAAGTTCCGAGGTGACTTAGTTCCTTATCCCGCTGTCGCCGACTGAATATTGATGTATGCACGGCGAAAAACCAAATAGAAGCTGTTTTACCGTAGAAAGCTTCTTTTGAGCCGTGCATAAAAACTTTTGGCCGCGTTTGACGCGCGGCGTTGCCGGACTGATGCGGATAATACAACGCTTTTGAGAAAATATTTTGAAATGACGTCACGCAATGCGCTTCTTTTTTTGCCAAAAGGAAATTATACGGAAAAAGAGATTGCTGATTTAACGATTAACTTAATAAATAAAATGCCCGACGTGTTTCAAATTTACATTTTACAACAGTGGAAAGCTATGGACGTATCTCTATCAAACGGAACTATGTGCATTAAGACATGAACCCGAACTCTGAGACCCATAAGAATACACGCACAACAGGGCTCACGTCATAATGCACATAGTTCCGTTTGATAGAAATACGTCTAATTTATCCACGGGAGTTGTTGAGTTGGCATTTTTCATCGTAAAATCTACATTGAAACATGTCGGATACTTTTTAACTAAAAATTTGTTAAATCAGCAATTTAATTTTGTTCCGTGTAAAATTTAAAGTTACCTGGCTTGAAAAATACAGTCGTAAACAGTCGGAGCCAAAATGGCGAAGAATGATCGTTTCAAACGAGTGGTAAGTTTAAAATACATCATATTATTTGTTAAATTGATTGATTGCTTCATGTTCAGTGATTTTAATTTACAAATGTTTTTTCCGTTCATTATAATGATTTTCGGTACACCGGTTTGAATAATAATATACATCAAGTTCCATCCGATTCAGCAGATTAAAGTTTTTGATACTCATAAATGAATGAAACACATTTTTTTATGATTTATTCACACTTCGAACCATACATAAAAATAGCTAGGGGAAGATTAGTTAAAATTGATAATTTTCAAGAATTTGTATAATAAATAAAATAAATAAATTTTAATAAAGTAGCTGGTAACCTATACTTGAATGCACAACATCTTTTCATCCGTTCTCAAAAAAGTTACGTAACGGTGATCCAGACCCGCTGCCACGCAAACCGCTAGTAATTTTCAAAACAAATTCACCTAATTAGACCCAAAGGATATATTACGATTGCAGAAATAACGAGAAGGTAACAATGTTTGTCTATAAAGTTGGGAAATCAAACTTTTCCACTTCCATTTTCTGTTCCCTTCATTCCAAATTGGGGAGGTTTTTGAGTATTTGGGAGCCGTCTCAAGAACCTGAAGGTATACGAGCTTAAAAGATACCATCCTTGGTGGCGCAGCACAAAAAAAAAAATAAAAACGTTTTTGTTTTTTCCATTTTAATTTATTTCTTTCATATTATTTCTTTCATATTATTTCATTCCCTTTTATTTTTTGGACTAAGCAATCGAAATCGCTGGAGAGGATTGACAAAAAAACACTTTAAAAACCCGTGAAAAATCTCCAAAAGTTGTTACGGAGCTCTTCCTTTACGACCGTCTACGGCGCTATAGGTAAAAATGCGAAACACTGCCAAAGATCCCTGGGCTTTTCATTTCAATTTATTTCTTTTATATTATTTCATTTCCTTATATTTTTAGACTAAACAATCGAAATCGCTGGAGAGGATTGACGAAAGACACTTTAAAAACCCGTGAAAAATCTCCAAAAGTTGTTACGCAGCTTTTACTTTACGGCCTTCTACGTCGCTATAGATAAAAATGCGAAACACTGCCAAAGATCCCTGGGCACCTAACGTAATTTGGACCGCGTTTAACAGAAAGGAACCAAGCCGCATCAGCTATTGCCAAATTTAACTGATCAATTTAATTTTTTATGAGAGAGCGTTTGTGCGGATACCTTTGAAAATTTAAAGGAATTTGCTTTGTAATATGGAGAAAATTCACTGACATTTGCACGAAAATCAGTACAACACGGAAAAAAATTAAATTGCTGATTCAACAATTAAATTGCTAAAAACAGTGAGTGCAATGTCTCAATGTAGATTTTACAACCAAAAAATGCTACTTTAACCACCCCCGTGGTTAAATTAGTTTACAGTGTGGTTAGAGTAGCATTTTTTTGTTTTAAAATCTACATTGAAACATTGCACTCACTGTTTTTAGCAATTGAATTGTTGAATCAGCATTTTATTTTTTTCCGTGAACCGTTTTTATGTAGAAAGTTAAATTGCCCAATTAAATTTGGAAATAGCTGAGGTGGCTTGGTTCCTTTCTGTTTAACGCGGTCCATTTAGGGATACCTACAAATTTTAGAGCCGAATATTATGAATTTTATGGTTAAATCTGGCAACGAGGGGTCGAGAACGTGACTTGTTGATGGATTTTTCTTGGGCGCTTTTTGTTTACTGCTCGACGACCGTGGATTTTGAACTTCATCGGGAATTCAGTCATTGGGCAGAAAAAGCGAGGTGAGAGGGACTCCCTCCCTTCTCCGCGCGTGGAAGCGCCAGCCGGGATAGTCCGCTAACGTGTTCCGCTTTTCAACATGCTTGATCATTACTGGCTCCGCGCCGAGAAGAAAACGCTCCCTCGACCTGTAAATTGTAAATTGTAGTTGCCGATGCGGCTCCGTCCACGTTTTCGTCTGGGTTCTCATTACGGAGAGTTAGTGGACGATGTTTTGGTGGACTCCGTACATCGATCGGAAATCACAGATACCTTGTGAGAGGCTGAATTAGATCTTGCACACCGGATAAAAAAGACGCTTCACTGAAAGAAAAAAAAAAAAACCACATTGGATCTAGAGTCCAGACTCTTGAAAATATTGACAAGAAAAAATACTCTTCATTCAATCAGACTTTTGCTTCAATCAAAAGGAAATCCGCTCAAATTAAGAGGCTTGGTTCTTGATTTAAGCAAAAATCCGATTGAATCAAGAGTATTTTTTCTTGTCGATATTTTTAGGAGTCTGGACTCTAGAGCCAATGTGTTTTTTTCCAATGTTGGGTCTAGAGTCCAGACTCTTAGAAACATTGGCAAGAAAAAATACTTTGATTCAATCGGATTTTTTGCTCGAATCGAAAGGAAGTCCGCCTAAATCAAGAGGCTCAGCTCTTCGATTCGAGGAAAAATTGGATTGAATCAAGAGTATTTTTTCTTGTCAATTTTATTCAGCGTCTGGATTCTAGATCCAAGCAACTTTTTTTTCCAGTGCATAAAAATACCATTATTTCTGGCTCATTTTAGAAACAATATGCAAGCCCTCATTATTCTCATGCACTCAGATGCTTTCATGGACAAGTCAGAAATGATCCTAGTTGCAAAATGAATTCCGGATGAGCCAGAGCGTTGCTTTTCTGTCCAGAACAATGGTAAAGATGCTCCGCACGATTTAGACTAGCGCCTTCAGTTTTCCTGATACCGCACGCTTTGCCGCAGAGTTAGTTTAGTTGCGTGACCCAACCGAACCTAACTCAGGTGGCTACGCCGATTTGCGCCACAGAGAGTGGCCCCATACTATCCTGCCGTGCTGAGGAAGAACGCCGAAATAATCTTCGGGCGTAGCCAAGTTTCCTTTGATAAAATACGATTTTACAGGAAAAGTTATAAATATCTTTCTTCCAATTTTTCAGCCAATATTGCTTGCAGTTTAATCTAAAATATCTGGAAATTTCAAGGACAGGTTTACACACTTCTTTTAAAAATGAAGATTATATCGAAGGAAAGTTGGCGACTTTTGAATATTCATACGACTTTTTTCCTTAGTACTGTAGTATAGCTCGAGTGAATTGTCCGATATTGTCCCCACAGATTTGAGCTATTTACCTACTTATTTTTTGTTTTGAATTATAA